TTTGGATCAATATATTGGAATAATAATAAATTAGTTTGATTATGGCGAACTTGAGTGATCAATCATTTCCTCCTACAAATCTAGGTCATGTAAATGAAGAGATGGTACCCCCGGGTCGGTGGGTATCACGAGGTCAAAGCTATTTTATGTTAGTTCACGGATTTTCGTCGATGCTAAGAATAGTTGTTAATTACGACACCGAGGTATTTATTTTTATTATTTATATAAAGTAGATTGAACTGCCATTTTAGGTGTCATCCTCATCACTTGTGACCAAGGTTCAAAATTACTAGTTCCAGCACCAGTTACTCTCGCATTGCTGCAGGGTCCGACATTAGTAAGAAATCAAACCTAGAGCACTCCAACGGAGGGTTTTAAGTCTCGAGAGATTTAACTAGTATTAGCTCCTCTACATGTTTTCATTTGTAGCACCACGACCTGTGGCGTACACATACTCCTTTTGAGAAAGGGAAAGGGGTATTTTTTTTAAAAAAAGTCCGTAGACTAAGGATGGCGATTCTTTCCAAAAAAGATAGATTTTTAAATCGATTCGAATCGTAACCTGATGAATCGATTCACAAAAAAATCGAGGTCTAAAAGATCGATTTCTAAAAAATCGATTTTTTTCAACTTTGCATTTACAATGTAAATATATATCCATTATATGAAAAACAAAAACAAAAAAAAATACCATAATAAACGATCTCTTATCAATATTCCACATTTACATCAGTGTTCTTATAAGAATTCCACATAGTTATTCCAATGCTCAATAGTAATTATTCGTACGTAAGCTAATTTAAACGACTTACATACATGGTTAGATTTAACAATAGCAACTAACAGAACAAACTCAAAATAATAGCATCAAAGTAAAAAATAACCCTCAATTACTTATTATTCCGTAACAAACACTGAATAAAAATAAATATTTATTTCGCTATATAATCACAGTATATTACGATAGTCATTCAATCAAGGCATAAACAAATGAAGCGATATCAACACATACAAAAAATCAAAGATTACACACAAACATAACTTTTTTTTTTATTTATTTAAGAGAGGTATAGGAAACTAATCACACAGGCATCTCGCGAGTTTTCGAGTAATTAACCCTTTAACCGCCAACACCGTAATTTTACGGGTTTTAAAGATAGTACATTCAACTAATTGTAAATAATTTTATGACTTTTACTAAAGCAGAAAAAATCGAATGTTGATTTTCTAGGATGAAATATCGATTCACTGAATCAATTAAGTGGTATATATCGATTTTTTTGGCCCGAGAAATCGGGTTTTTGATTAATTGATCTCAGATCGCCATCCCTACCGTAGACGAAAGCGCCAAAGTTAAACCTTCACGTTAAAAATTAAAAACCTGTTGGTCTATGGGAAGGGACGTTGAACACCCAATCGTCCATTCTTGTCAACGCCACTGATTAGGACTCGAGCTCACAATTCGATAACACTGGCCACGAGTTAGTGACCATGATCACTCGACTACCGCTGCCACTGGCGCAACGTTTTCCCTCCTCGCATCTGCAAGATCGGCCTTCCTATGCAGATAATGTTACACCGCTCATATAAATAATGCAGGGTCCTTTCATCTTACATCAGGTCGTCAATCGATGGCCATGGGAAAAACAACATTCCACCTTTGAGCTAAACTCCGAGTGAAATTCAAGGTGTAAGAAGGGACCCCCCCCACCCCAAGAGAGTGGAGAGATGAGTCTGCCTGAAACACTCTAAAAGAGACGTTGTGTTTGTCCCCTCCTTCACCAATGACATATTCTGTGAATATAAATATTCAAAGATTTGAATAACTTAAATCTAAATGTAAATATTGTAATTAATAGCTGTAGAAGTAATAAATCAATAATTTAATTTCTTAAGTCTCCCGCTACTCATTACTTTTTCCAAATTGTCACACTGGACCAGAAGTATGGAATGGAAAGAAATTGAATGAAATAAAATGTGAATTCAATAGACATCTATAACTCTTTATTACAATGCTTCTCAAACTTTCAACGTTTGTGACCCAATATGCAATCATAATTTTTATCCCGCCCCCTCCATACAATAACAATGTACTGAATTCAGAAATACTATACGTGGACGCTAAAGCTACAATGCGACTTTAACCTCTTAAGTGCCACCGGCGTATATAAACGTCTTGTTCTTAATCATCTAAACATTTAATTACCCCGGACGTATATATACGTCTTTCCGAATTTCGATCTTTTCCACGCACTGTTATCCATAAAATTATTCCGGAGGACGTGGAATGTAATAAAAAGACATTGACAGTGTTTGCAAAGGATTTGTTTATTTCAGATGATTTGCTTAGCTATTTCTTTTCTCCCCATCCCCCTCTATACATCACATACGCGTGCCTATGTGGAAAAAGATGGCGTTGGGGAGAGAATCACGTAATTTTTAATCGGCAGTTAAGGGATTAATTATAAACCGTTTACAAATGATCAAGGTGAGTGGTAATTTTTGTATATTATTTTATATATGACAAGCCCAGTGGGTCACATGGGCTTACCTTGCTCTTAACATTCTATTGTTAATTTAATGATAAAATACATTGTGCAGTACATTTATAAGTGTATAAGTACCCGTGTAAATGTGCATTTTATTTTTTATTATGTCAAAATATACACTGCTGGACAATTGCTAAGGACAGATCACAAATTGCTATGTACCATAACATTAAGCGAGACATGAGGCCTAGTAGGATAAAATAGAGTTGCCACACTGTTCAGACATTAGAATAAAGAATATTTATTGTTCTGGAAAGTACAAAAGCTGTGAAACATCTGAAAGAAAAAAAATGTTCATTTGATCTGCGTACGGAGAAATGGAACAATGCATCTAAAAGTCAGCAGGCACCTTAAAGAAAGGTATCAGTGCGGGATATGTCCACTGTGGAGTGTGATGCAACATTCCACACGTCGTACCATACTTTGCACAACATTATCCAGCAGCTGTTGAGGCAATTTATCCCATTCCTGTGTGAGTGCACGGATGAGGGTGTTCTTGTTTGTCGGAGGATAGTTTCGACCAGCAACTTGCCTCCCAAAGCATCCCACACATTTTCAATGGGGTTTAGATCTGGAGAACGCGCTGGCCATACGAGACGTTGAATACCCTCGCTGTCTAGACAATCCTAAACAGCGAGTGTTCGATGACATGTTGCGTTGTCGTCCATAAAAACAAATTTATCACCGACAGCACCACGGAAAAAGACAAACATGAGGAAGTAGAACTTCATCAATGTATCGTTGGCCCGTCATAGTCCCATTCGCAACCACATGTAGGCACGTGCGGCCATTGATGATGATGCCGGCCCACACCATGATACTGCATGTCGGACATCGGTCCTTTTCCTGGATATTTTCTGGACGATAAGCAGTACCACTCTCGCGCCAGATTAGTTGGCGTCTACAATTCGATGACAGACTGAACCTACTCTCATCTGAGAATAGTACGCATGCCCAGTCCTGTTCAGTCCAATTGTGATGCTCACGACACCATTGCAAACGGGCAGTACGGTGCTGTCTGGTCAATGGCACACACACAACAGGTCTGCGTGCGTTTAGTCCTCCTCCCCTCAAACGTCTGGCAACAGTTTTTCGGGAGATCTGCTTTCCTGAGGCAGCAAGAAACAGATTTGCCACCTGCTAAGCTGTGGTGCGCCTGTTCCTTTTTTTTTTTTTTTTGCTGATAGGACGATATATCTGTCTTCTGCAGGCGTCGTACTTCTAACACGACCTCCCCGTGCCGTCTACTACACATTCCAGTAGTTTTAAATGACTTCCACAGCCGTGAAACAACGCTGTGAGCGATGTCGAACTCCCTGGCAACATCTGTTATTTTTCGCCCTTCTTCGATCTTTCCAATAATCCGGCCACGCATAAAATCATCTATGTGATGTCGGGAAGACATGCCAAAAATTTTAAGTTCGTCTATTAAATCTTTCCTGTAAAACTTTGACTTGAAACAACAACTGTCCACATGCGTCAAAACCTTTAAAGCTCTTATGAACGCTATCACGGGATGAACAGACGTGGAAAAAAAAATTGCATACTCATACTTCTTCTTACTAATATTCCGCACTTATTCTAATTTTCCACATTTTGCTTCCTTTCATTTTGTGGTTGCTATGGATGATAGTGTTATCCGTCCTTAGCAATTGTCCAGCAGTGTATATTGTTTTACTTTCAGTAAATTAATAATTTTGTTAAGGAATCTGCTTTCGACTTTTCGATATACTCGCGCCCCCCTTTTAGAGTTATCACGGCCCCCTAGGGAGGCGCACCCCAGAGTTTGAGAAAAGCTGCTTTATTACATAACTATCTCAAAAGCTTCGGATGTGCGTTTCTATAATACTGCGCGTGTGCGAGATTTATACTTTCATAAATTTCTTCAATTTTCTTCATTTATGATCATGATCGACAATTTTTTTTGAAACGTATTTCAAAATTAATCATTTCGAAAGACAATTTTCATTCATGTCAAATTTTGAGTATCTAGTGAAAGTATCTAGTATGAAACAAAACAGACATTTCCATTCTTCTTAAGTCTAAAACAGACATAAATGTCTACATTTTATGTCTATGATTATTCGATCAATAAGGAAGTGATAAAAGTTTCGAATGCCTTTGATATCCACCATCCTTATTTCTAGTGTTCATGTTAAACAGGTAATATAATTTTTTTTAAAGTCAATTCCTACATAGGTCAACAAAGAAAAATTTTATTTTAGTTACTTTTTTATAAAATAGTTACAATTAATATAAATATGTATGTACATATGACAGAATCACGATATTAAGTGACAAAATAGAAAGCGATTTTCCTTGCAATTTTTCATTTTCCTTTCTATATAGGGTGTTGGACTATTTTTTTGTTACTATTTATTCATTCATTAAATTTAATTATTCTAATAAAATAGTACAGTAAAAATGAAATCACATTCTCAGAAATGAGGCCATCCCAGGTGGGATTCGAATCCACGACCTTTAGATTAAAAGTCTTACGCGTTATCCATTACCCTACAGGGACACAGTAAATGAATTCCCTTTCTGTATATGCTTTTGGACAATTATTTTTTTTTGTTACTATTTATTCATTTTTTAATTTATTTAATAAATTGATATTTAGAAAAACTGTATTAACATCAAGTGTCATCCACTACAAGTTTAAAAAATATATTTGAACTTGAATGGATGAATATAGAAGGTTTTTTATCGACGATTCTGCCATCTGCAAGCAATTCTGGCGAGCGCTGCAAAAAAGCCCACGACAGCATATATCTATCTTTTGTTTGTGAAGAAACCCTTTTTGTTTTGGCTACGCAAGGTGCTCGCTTCAAATTAATTCCTTTGATCAACATAATCCCCAATTTTTTTTTAAAATTCAGAATAAAACTAAGTTTTGAAGGGAGAGGTTGTTAAAAATTTCTCTTTATTTGAATGGTTTTTTTTATGATTTTATTATGCACATTTTGTAGTAAGAAATTGACCTTTTTTCAAAATAAATGCTTTTATCGGTTCTGGTACTTAAAGAAAATAAATTTTCTCTTTCTCACTACATCATTTGTGGACAAATTTTCATAATTTGTTTGTGGTTTGTAGTTAATTATAACGCTATAATTTTAATTGAATAGGCAGATATTGCGTTTTTAAGTATAAAAATAATTATAACTACTGTACTGTATTTTTTGGAGTGAGTGAGTGAATATTAACGTCGCACTGTTCAGCTACACGAGGGCTTTTGGCAACGGACCAAGTAATTTTGAACCATGGTCAAGTGACGTGGACAACACCTGAGCTGGAACCCCCTTCTCCTAACTACCACACCACACCAACTTAGAAGGAATATTCTACCAATACTTAGCTGTAATATTCTTTGAAATCCACTCTTCCAAGATATATGGCAGCACGGGTTCTATGATGAGTATTTTAGTGGCGAAGGCGAACAGTTTTGTAGCAGATATTGCGTTTTCAGCGGATTGCAAATATTATTATTTTTGTCGCAAAAACATAGTTGATGTCAAAATTTAAGTGTCTTGTATTTTTGTATGTTATGGAAGACCATGGAAAATGATTTGACTACTTATTTTAAATGAACGGTGTATATAATTAATTTTACAGTGGAATATCTTTAATTAATTTATCAGCTCTAACGGATTAAATTTCCCAAAGTGGAGTATTTTGTTTAAGTATATCCTTTAATTTTAAATGTAGTGATAAAAAAAAATATTGTATGAAAAAAACTGCAGTGAATCATAATGCGGTGGATAAAGTATTAAGGTGCATTTCTCCCCTACACGGAGGGTCTTACAAAGCTCTAATAAAGCTCGAGCTATGAAAGTAGCTAGACATTCACCAACTTGACTCTATCGTTAACATTTCGCTATGTTTTTCATTGAATTGCCATTATAATTTAAGAAACGGCGTTGCTTGCGAATATTACAATTTTAAAATAAAATAAATGCAGAATAAACAATATTAATGTATTACACTTTCAGATATAAATTATTTCCATTATTTTAAGCGTTCATTACACAAAACTTTTAACAATGTGTTACTTTTGCTGAGCATAGATCAGCTTAGGGAGGTATTTAAAAAAAATCGATCCTCAAGAGTGTTACGGATAGTTATAAATAATAAAAAAATCCTTTTTATCAGCTATTAGATCTACATACTTAAAATTTAACAAAGGTGTTTTTTTCTTTCTTTTTTTTTGTTTAGCTGAGATATGCAAAAAGCTTTTTTTTTTTTTGTTTAATTTGCAATTCACATAAAATTAACTCATTAAAAACTTCTTTATCTTTTAATCTGTGTTGTTGAATTTTTCAGTTCACCTGTGCGAAGAAAGGGTATAGCAGCTAGTATATATATATATATATATATATATAAAAGCAATTAATTAATTTTATGCGGATCTGCTTTCACTCCCTTGTATTTGGCGGGAACACATTACTAGTTGATGCACTCCCGACCTACGTCTATACTGCGAATAAAAGTAGGTTATGTTTTTGTTCATATGTTATTTAGTTTAATGATTTTTTAATATTTAAATTCCTCTTATATAATTATTTCCTTTCCTCTTGGTACATAGTATGACAAATTTCAGGTGAAGGTTGGTCGGCACCAAAACATGTTTAAACCTGCAATCCTGGTTTCTAAGGCCAGAAGTTTGTCATTATACTACTGTGCCTTCTACCTATTTATAGTTATCTTATGTTATAACTATCTGTTTATTTTTATATTTTCGTTTATATATTTGTATATATATATATATATATATATATATTTGTATATATGTGTATATATATTTAAATATTGAATTTTTTTATATTGGATTATATATATATATATATATATATATATATATATATATATATATATATATTATATATTTATATATATGTATATATATATTTATATATATGTATATATATATATTTATATATTGAATTTTTATATTGGATTATATATATATATATATATATATATATATATACATATATATATATATAAGATATATATAGGAAGAGAGTAAACTAATAGTAGGAATTGAAAAAGAGAAATCGTGTGGTGTTATACTTATTCTTAAAAAATGAAAAGTTATCTATATGCTCGAAAATATTTTATCTTTAACAAATAATTCCTGAAAAAATGACGATGTATTTGCGTTTAGATAAAGCACGTGTAGCTACAAAAGAAAATATTTATAAGATATGGGGAAATCATCGAAAATACAGAAAGCAGAATTAATTCTTTTCTCGTACAAGAAATTAGGAAAACCCTTGCAAATCATTTCTGCTAAATAATTTGGTTATTCCTTACATACCAGAAGACTTCTCATACCGATTTATTATGTTTCCTTTTATATATCCTGTATATAAGATCTTCGAGGACAAGTCCTATTCCGGAGGATCTTATCTCAGGTTCCGATAGCTCTTAATAGAAGCTGACAAGATGCATTACTTTTCTCGAGTAAGTGTCAGCCAGATACTCAATACAGTTAATATATCGTGATATTGCTCATCCATGCATTTCTTTATCGCCGAAACCATCTACTCTCTTAAATAAGGCGAAAGGGGGATATTATCAGTGTATATGTCATGAATATAAATTATAGGGTAATAATATAATATACTACAGCAGTAGAGCGCACACAGGAAGTTTTCAAAGGGGATGTCTAGGGTCGAAAGTCTACCTTTCCTGTATCATGCTCCTTTTGATTTTGTCGATTTTCGGGAACAAAAAACTAATTATTGAATAAATAATTCGCATTAATTCATAAAATTAATCGTTAATAACATTTATTTTTAATTAAATTTTACGTACTTATACTTAAAATTATAATAAATTGGAAAACAATCAAGGGCTTTGGGGGGGGGAGGGTCCGGATCCCATGACTCGTTTATAAAACAATGAAATTCAATGCTTTTCATTAACCTGGGAATTTTAATATTTGCTTCGAAATGATAAATTTTACAACTATTAAACCTTGAATGTTGACATTTTTTAACTGATGATGAATTTCACGTTTCATCGGTTTCGGAAAATACTACTACTCAAAGTGTGTGGAACTGTTTGCTCAACAAGTTTTAGCTTTAAACGTTTTTTTTTTCCTGCTATTCTTTCTCTATTTCCCGTCTATTTGTTTTTCTTTTTTCAATTTTTTTTCTCAATTCGATGTTTTCTGTGATGAATGACCTGGATGCGGAAGTAACCGGGTGATAGGACTGGATTGTAGTTGGTGTCATCGATCATGGCTAGACATTCCGATTTCTCCGAAGACCGCAATATGAATAAATGAAGTATAAATCCAATATATATATATATGTGTGTGTGTGTGAGTGAGTGGTGTTAATTCCAAATGAGCCATAAACTTCTTATGTGTCGTGATACGGGCGAGTGAGTGTTTATCTAAAGTGATTCACTCATTCATCATGATATCTCATGAACTATTAGACCAGGGGTTCTTAACCTCGTGCTCGTGAACCCCAATATACCTACAAAGCTATTTTTGTGCGCCCGTCATAGTCCGCTATACATTATACTAGTGATGGCGAACCTATGACCCGTGGGTCAGACACTGACCCACGATTGCTAGGCAACCACTTGTATGTTTACACGGGTTTATTTAGATTTTTTAATTCGTGTGGATTATTTATATTCTGTTTGAATTTTTTCAAGCACATTAACACGAAAGCAATTTAAATGCTGTCTATAACCTTCAGTTTGATCATTACAGTTCCGAGGCTACGCAAATGACAAAAAATGTATATGAAAGTAGGTAGTATTTGAAATAAAGCAAAAGTGATTACAAAATATCAAATAATGTGCATAATTTTGCTCACATTTTGTTTGTTGAAAAACAATCAAAAACCAAAGCAAATAATCATATTTAAAGCTCTTTCTTCGGATAAAATGCACTTTAATCAGCTATGTTTGTAGAAAGAGACTTCCTTAGCGCTCTTTTTTACCCGTTAAGCCAATTGAATTTTAAAGATGTTTAATTTTAAAAGTACTCAGTTAAAAACTTTTAAACGCAATTTAGGTGTAAATGGGCATTAGTGACCCTCGCTCTAGTACTGAAAAAAATATGAACGAAATTTGACCCATGTCTCAAAAAGGTTCTCCATCCCTGTACTATACCAATATCAACTGTGGCCACCCCGTGGCTCACTCGATCATTTTCTACGAATGAAAAAGTCATCGGTGAAAATTCGTTTGACCCAAATTTATTTATTGGTCACCTTCAGAAGCTTTTAGATCAATTCGAAAATAAATTCCAGCAATTTTCGATTATTGAGCCAGTGGCTTAATTTTTTTTGTAAACCCATTCAATTTTCATATTAATATATCTGAAGTTACAAATTCCATGGAGAAAATTATTCAGGAAAAAGCATTTTCAATTGAAGATGAGATTTTAAATATTCAGACTGATATTGTATTAAAATCACGCGGACTTAATGAAAATATTTAGAATCTAGCCGAAGATAAAAAATATCTTCTTTTGAGAAAAGGACCTTACAACTTAAA